ATGTTTTATTGCCTTTACGAGCCTTTGATCTGTGTGAGTAATTTTAGCAGGGGGGGTAGTGTGATTAGAGTGGTTCGACAACCACATCTGCGTGACACCCTATCACCTCTGTGTGTCGGGTTTCTGGGCTCTGTTCAGAGGAAAGGGGAGAGAGAGAGAGGCAGAAGGCTGCCTTTGAATAGTAACAATGAAAAAGAAGATCCAGATAATTTTCTCAAAAGCTTGCAGGAGACATTTCTGCTGCCCAGTGAACTTCAAGTGAGCTCTCAATTGCTGCAAATTGACACTGGCTTGTCCTGTTCAGGTTTATTGGCACTCTTGTGCATGAAGCTGATGTCAGATAGTGGAAATGCAGAATGGTAGGAAGACTGCATTGAGCTGCCTCAGAAGATTCGATTATCATTTGACACAGCAAAACTATTATCTCAGTCGCGGTTTTGCTGTGAACTCTTCACCCTCAGTTCAATCTGCTGCACAGTCCCTGCATGCCATTATCGCAGTGGGACACACGAACGATAGAAAACCGCAGACAGCGCGGATCTTTTCACATTCAACTGCGACATCTAGTGGCGTGAGAGGGGATAGGTTCTTGTGCGCGTTAGTGATTTTAAAGCTTCTGTTTATGTTCAATTCTCTTTTTGCTTTTTTCCCTTTCTCAGTTGCTTGATAGATTGTGAAATTTATATCATAGTTTGAAATAATCTGAATCTCCTGCACAGGTTAAAATTATTTTAATCGTATCATATCATGATCACTGGCTAAGAGCGACACCTTTTTTGTGCAGAAATTGCACAAGAAAACCGTTTGAAATCATTTTTAATGAGCTTGTATTGTCATCCTTAAATCTGATGATTTCAGCAGCCTACTTATTTCAGCAATATCTGTAGGTGTTTCAGTGCTGCTGTCGTAATTTCACCTTGGAGGTCTCTCTGGTGGCTTCAGTGAACAAAGCCTGAATTGTTAGAGGGGTTTTAATTACAGCAGAATATGAATCTTTCTCTAATAGCAGCCTTGACATTTGGAGTTCAGGCAGGACTCTGTTTTTTTTTCCTGTGTTTTGGACTGTTTAGACGTAATGAGCAATCCTGGAAGGCGTGAAAGCTGGTTCCTATCTAGGAAGACATATGGGTCAGGTTTACCGCCAGCCGTGAGCTCTACGACAGTGAGGACGTGTGATGATGTGTAACTTTAAACTAAGCAGAGAACATTTGCAAGCAATAGAGGCACAGTGGGCTTGTTTCACCTGCACCAGAAAGGCCTGCTGTGAAGGACAGCTTTTCCTTAGAAAAACCGCTCCAGCTGCTCCTCAGCAGGCCTGATCGCACGGAGGAGTCTGGGACGCGGTGAAAACACAGTGAAAGTGCGACTGATCTACTGCTCGTTGCACCAGCTTAGTTTTCTCCCTTCATAACCCTCCCATTTCACCCTGAATCTGGGGGGACTTGTACATCTCCTTTGGGTGGCAATGCTGTTCAATATTGCTCAGTATGAATCTTTCTCCCATCGTCTTGGTGAGTCTGTGGCTCTCTTCATCGCCTCAGGGTGAACCAGCGGCTCCTGTCACTGGTGTCCCATCCCGTGATCTTACAGCAGCGACAGCTCGGAAACAGGAGTGCCCAGACCTCATCCCCATCTTCTACACGTTGTGAAAATACATTTGCTTGTATGCTCTTGCCTTTTAAAAACGCTTAGTAATAGTGAGCTTGTTAAATGGAATTTAGCCCTCAGTAGTTAGGAATACTGAAAGCACTTCTCCCAGGGTTGCTGTCTCAGCTTGGGCTCAGTTCAGACATGTAGCAGCTGGTTGTGCCTGAAGTGAGTACGAGTTCCAGTTAGCTGTCGTCTGGGCTTCTCCTCACAGGAGCTCTTAAGAACCAGGGGCACGAGGAGGGTTTCAAAGGCTGCCGTACTTTATGTATTTAAAGTATGTGCATTTAGAACTGCTTGGATCATAGATAAGGACTGACAGCATAACAAGCACACATATTTGAAAGATACAGAATTTAACTGGGCTGATTTAAAAAAGGCTGCAGTGTATTCCGACTATATTTAACAATGTATTGTTTTAAAATTGCTTGTTTTCTTGTTTAATATTTAACATTTAGGTTTTCTACCACTTTTTTTTGGCTTTTTTCATTTTTTTAAATCATTGAAAATAATCCATAATTATTCAGTACTGATAATTATTAATATTTTATGCACAGGAATAGATCTAGTTATTTTTTTATCTTAGGCTGTCATCCAGAATATGATTGTTCTTGTAATAGTTTTTCTTTATCTCAGCTTCTCAATGAAAACTGCTTTAGAAAATTTAACATACAGAAGGATCACATAAGAAGTACACTTTTTGTAAAACTGTATATTTATAATGTAGTAGATTGTTTGGGGTTGTTCAGGTGACAGACTCCAAAAGAAGTGTAGGACAATGCCTGACATCCTGAGTTTCAGCAAGCCCTTCTGTATTGAGGAATACTGTATGTTTTTTGGGGGGAGGAATCACAAATCTGGTCATTAAAATCTACTGGGGATATTTTTTTCCAGTTCCTCCCCTACTGCCTCTGTGAGAAAAGTGGTTTTATCTTCTTGTTGCACAAATTCACTTTAGAAAAGCTACACTCAGATCCGAACACTGTAGAGTTACACACCCGAATATTCCTCATCCCTCAGCAGAGCGTTGTTAAATTGCCCCCCTGGGCAATTTAATATATAAAATCTCTGTACTGTAAAATTGAATTGCACAGGACAGGGTTAGAATGGGCGTGCTGTCTCTGTCCCTCCAAGCTGAGAAAGTGTCCTGCAGCAGTGCCGGGTCTCTGTCACAGCTCTCGCAGGAAGTCAGAGTGACTCCCCTGGTTCCCGCCAGCGTGATCGTTACTGCAGAGCGTCGTCGTTCGATTGGTTTCTACTAATCGTTCTGTTCAGACAGGGGACGTCGGAGACAGACCTTTTCTTATGATCTTATGCATCTCGGTGTTTATTGCACTTTCCTAAAGCAGAGTCATTGTGTGCGTCTGAAGGCCCTGAGCCCAGTAAAAAGAGCTGGCCAGTACTGGCAGAATGCAGCTGCTGTGGCTCTGGTCCTTGTCCAGCAGAGGATGTGCCCCCAGGTGCCCAGAGCCGGCGAGTGAAGGGTGGGAGGCACACCGACTGGGACCCAGTGTCGCCATGGAAAACCGGTGCTGGGAAAAGCGCTGCAGAATGGGAGCTCTGTGCTCACTTCCTGGAGCAGCCTCATTAGGCTTTCCTGAGCACATTTCAGAAATGCCCAGACAGGGTGTGAAAGCTCCAAATGTGCCGTTCTCCACCGCTGTCTCTTAACTTTTCCTGACATCACGCTGGGGTCTCTGACAACTTTACTTTTAATTTGGACAAATTAGGTGTGCTAATTCCTGGTCCTGTAGGCCTGTCATTTCTGCAGCCTAGCGCGGTCCCTGGTTTTCCTCACAGCTTCAGCTTCCTGTTTGTGCTGAAATATCACTTCAAAGATTTCTGCACTCTCCCCCTTGAAAGGCATCTCTTATGCTACAGGCTCTTGATGGGTAGTGTCAGAGTTACACTGCAGTTCACAGTGTTTCATTACGTACTATTGCCATTTGATTACTCGGGCTGTCAGCATGAATGTTACTCCAATTGAAAAAATAAAGTTTTTAGAATTTACAAGTCTGTTGAATTTCCTGGTAAATATTTTTAAACGAGTTACAAGGGACGTTTTTTAATTATTTTTATTTCATGTAGTTAGGAATTTATAATGTCGATGCACTCTAAAATTATTTTTAAACAATAACTTGACTTTTTTCACATGTAATTTAATTTGATGTTTTTTTCTTTTTTATTAAAAGATATTCAAAATGCTTATTTAAATCATACAGAAAGGTAGCAGTAAGCCCGAGGTACATCTAAGCAAATTACCCCTGGAGGTGACTTTTTACCTGGAGTTTGATTTTGCATTGTAGATGTCGTCCATCTCCCTTTGCCAGGTTTACAGTCTGGCACACAGTAGGTTTGTATTGTTTTCCCAAAAAGATTTTCTCATTGTATTTCACTGTAAACAGTACAGTATCTGAAAGGTCTAGAGAATTGTAGATTTCCAGCTCACACCCCACACAAGGAGAAGGTGTGGACTGAGAGTTCGGATGAGCCAGTGTGTTTGTGTCTGACGAGCTGGTCCCCAAAACAGCAGAGCAACGAGGCCCCAAGCTATAAAAGCATCGGTTGTATTTCTTATTTACTGTATTTGGTGTTTGCCTGCTTCTGATATGTTCACAGATAATGGTTCTAACTATAATTAAAGACTGAAAACTGTGAGGATAACCAGCCTGTTTTTTTTGCAAATCATTTTTAGGAAAGAAAAAAGTTGTGGTTCAGTGAATTACCAATAATGGATAATTAAGTGAAAACTTAAAGAGTCACATTAATTTTGAAAAGGCCACTCATCTCCTGCAAAATATTTTATAATAAATAGTATGATTTTTATGCTCTGAGGATATAATGGTGAAACATACTACAAGTTGGGGTTTGTAATTGTTACGATCAAATTAGCGAAGGCTCCTCTGCAGTCGAAGTGTGAATCAGCAAAGCCCATGATGCTGCAGAGCTGGGCACTGTGATCTGCAGTCTGTGGATCTGTAGGCTTTTGTGATTAAAATCAATGGGTATATTTTCATGTTCCTAGATACCACTTTTCACATAGAGGAAATACACCAGCAGTAAACTCATGTGTAGCCGCTTCTCTGGCGAGAGGGAATCTGAGCTTTAATAAACCTGCCGCTGTCAGATGCAGAAATAACCCAGTAACCACATAATGTACTCTTACAGTGCATGAGTGATAGAAAATAATTACATATCCTGCGAAAGGAGGTAATATGTCTGATAAATTGACGAGTCCTATTTCCTGTAGATTAAAGGACTCTATATTGCTTTATTAATTTCACTGATGTAATTCTTACACACTGATGTGTAGGATCTTTGCTTACTGAAGGAAGCCAGATGGCTGATACATAACAGCACTCCTGTACAAGGGAAGATGGGTAAGATATGGTGCTGTACAGGCAGAGAAGGCAAGTTTTTCTATTTTTATATCAATGAGGTTATCTTACTTGGGCCTGCCTAGTACTCTCAGTGGTCTACTGTTAGTCCCTGACCTGAGACCTTTCCCCACTTGTTCACTTAAACAACCGCGGAACCGTCAAGCAGTTTGTAGTCTTTTCAACAAACTTTGAAAGAGACACCATGACTGTTGACTGAGAGTTAAATGTCATTATTGTGAAACGATAAAGATTTTAGGCCTAACATTTTATCATTTTTGAAAAACTAATTTAGGTGAGTAGGCGACTTTTTTGCGGTGATTTGAATGATTTGCATGAAGTCTGTGGTTCCTGTTTGTTTAAACCACACATAATACCTTGCAACAGACAGCCAGAATACTCCTCGAGCTCCTCTGACCCAACAGCTTGCAGTGACTCTTTCTCACAACACAAGTATCAGGCCACGTTCCTGCACGTCTGCCACCTGTCCTTTAAGGGAAAAGGCTGGGTTTTTAAGAGGAATCGATACCCTGAATTTATCCTGAAGCTGGATAAAGATTTACTTATAATTTTAATGCCAAGAGACAAGCTTCATAATAAAACAAAATGAAATACAAATTGAAAACAGGCTCTGCAAGACGCTGAATGGTTCTGTAATGCATTAAGACTCCATACCTGGTCGCCGTCCAAACCGTCTCAGTGTTTGCTATTTTAACATTTCGGCAGTGGGGTGTAATGGGTTTAACTGGAGTCCGTGTTGCTCTTGGGGCCATGCAGAGAACAGCAGCGATCCAGCCTGGGCTGCAGAGGGCCTCTCTGTGCCAGCTGTATGAGGGAAAGCAGCATGTCTATACCCAGTGCAGGTTTTAAAACCCACTGTCTGAACGCCTCCTCATCTCAAGCCACATGAGCGCCAGTGATGCCCTGAAGACAGACGCGTGCGCTGTGCCCACTGTCTCACATGGCGCTGGTTTGCCCTCACAGTGCAGGACACACCGGGTGCTACAGGGGGCTCTTCCCCTCCCCACTCTGTCCAAGACACACCGGGTGCTACAGGGGGCTCCTCTTCCCCCTCCCCGCTCTGTCCAGGACACACCGGGTGCTACAGGGGGCTCTTCTCCCCCTGCTCTGTCCAGGACACACCGGGTGCTACAGGGGGCTCCCCCTCCCCCTCCCCACTCTGTCCAGGGCTCACATCCTGTCTGCCCTCACTTTCATTTTCCGCTGCCCGGCTGGCGAGAGAGGTGGTTTTCATTTGCAGGCTTTACTAAACACTGTTCATGCAGGTCGTGCTTTCAACTGGGGTGAAGAGATACTTCACTTTTTTAAAGCACTTCAGAACATTGATCTCTTAATATTTCTTGGAAGGGGCTCTGTTGCTAGATCTTTCGGAGATGCTGCGTGGTTCAGTCAGGAAGATGTCTGCCTCGTGTGTTCACCAGTTAAATAATCGGGCTCAGCCTGGCATGTAGTAGCTAAGTAATCTGTTCTTGATTATGGTCTGCTCATGCTGACCTTGAGAGAATCTCTGCTCCACTAGGGAACACATGTTCTTCATTAACATGATATCTGCGGCTCTGCTCAGTGCTCTCTCCCTGTGCATTTTATAGCATCTGAATGCAGAACAGGCTTGAGCATATTAGTTTTTCAGGTGGAGACTGTGGGAGATTCATACAAACGGGAATCTCTTTTCAGATAAGATAAAAGGGAACATGCTACATTAAAGCTTTTTTCGGAATCAATTGTATTTTTCTTTTATAAAATTGGACTTGAGAAGGTTTTTCACTCATTGGCAACAGCTGGTTCTTGAAAATAAATGTCTCCTGCTAAAGTAAAAAAGAAATGAAACAGTTTTTCAGTTTGTTTGGGAAGAGTAGGCATTTCGAAATAAATGGTTTGAGTGTGGCATGCCAGATTTCGCTCATTTGGTTCACTAGTGTTACTGACTCAACAGTGGCTCAACACAATGTGCCCTTTAAAAAAACAGAATCCAGATTACAAGTCAGCAATTTAAAAAAAATCATACACTGTGAAATTCGACCGAGCGCCAGCCTGTTCTGGACAGCCTGGTGTTCTGTGGGTTCTGGCTGTGTGAGTATTGAAAGGCGGACTGTTCTTCCCACAGGAGTACCAGAGTTTCGGATGGTGGGTTGGAGAGGCGAAGGGCTGTATCGGCATCGTGCCCAAAGCGTATTTAACAGAGATGTACGATATATAAGGCAGCTCCGGTAAGTATGTTTGAATCCTGCTCTTCTGTTAGAAACAACCACTGCTTATGGCCACACAGGAGACCGCTGTGCTGCTGTACAGCATGACGCTGCCAGCTGGATGCCTGTCCCACCTGCACGTCGTCTGCGGTCCATTTGATCTGTGCTTGTCTTTTTCAGACCTTTTTAATGTTGTGTCTAACCTGCCGTGACGGTTGCTGCTAAAGATATGAATATTGTTGCCAGAGTGACGTCAGGAGTGGAGCCGCCCGGGTCTGGACAGGGGCTGCTGGGACGTCCTGCCTCCTGAGCCGGGCCTCATCACACCACACGTCCGCTGTGAGGTTTCTGCACTGCACCACTTATCTTCCCCAGAGAAAGGGACGGTACTATTCCTGTAACATGTTGCTCATGAAATTAATTCAAATGCATCAGCTATCAATCTTGATGAGCTCAAGCAGAGCCGGTTAGCTCGAAAGCATCAGCCTGCATATAATCCGGATTTTATCTCTTTACAAGTATTGTTTTTCAGGTCATATTGAAATGAGATACAGTAAAATTTGCATCTTTTGGCATAATATATAAAAATAATTTCTATTTATTTTTGAATGCTTGCTAAACAGATAATTTAGTGCCATTTGTTCTTTAAACCATTTTGTTTTCACTCCAGCTTCTTCTTACAGAGTATCTCTCCAGTGTCTTTTTAAAATAAAGCTTCTTGTTGGATTCTGTGAACTGGCTGCTAATGATTTGCTCGGCAAGTGATTTTTTTATCAAGAAACAGTGTAAAGGAACAGTGTGTGACTGTGAGTGACGATCTCGGGTGTCCATGTGCTGCATCAGCTTTTTGAAACAACAGAATTCAACACTAGGTGGCAGCAGAGGTCCAATCCTGATATGGGTTTCTCCTCCTCTCAGTGACCCTTCCCAGCCTGCTTTGTGTCTGTCCTGCTCAGCCAGGAGGCGGGGTGTCAGTCAGGGAAAATATCATGCGGGCTAAAATCCTTTTTAATCGTTTTCTTATATTACACAGCTCGGTTGTGAGTGACACAGTTTGACTCTTCTTTTCTCAGCTTGGTTTTTAGCTTCTCAGATAAATGAGCCATAGCTCTCTTAAGGATTTTACTTTTTAATATGGTATATTTGATATATAAAATTAACTTTATATAGCACAAATATAATAGCAGTACAATAATAAATAAAGGTTCAGAAAGCCCCTAAATTAAAGTAATTTGATGTTTAGTTCACATTATCACACACATAGTCCTCAGAGTTAAATTACACTTTTAAAGACCTATTTCCACATAAAATCATTTAATATAATGTTGATATTATACAGTATATACAAAACTTTAATGACAAAAACAAAGAAGTCAGGGGGGCATCCTGTTTTTATATTTTCGCTTGTCTGTCCAACAACAGGTTTTGACTCAATGGTTAAACACATCCTTTAAGAATCGTTATTTGAAAAGTTGCACAATTTCCTTACTCAAAAGTAACATTAATATATATTTTGTTTCAAATCATAATTTATTCAGAAGACTTCAAAAAATACATACCTGAAGCACATGACTGCGTTTCATTTCATTTACCAGCATTTCTGTGATGGTGTATTTGACAACGTCCACAGTCATTTACGAACTGTTTCATTCCATTAGCTGGTGTATAATAGTGCACATAGTAATTACACACATATCCAGACTGAGCAAGCAACCTAAATGGAAACTATATTAGAAAGATTAAATTTGATAGTCCTGTGGTATTAAACCAATAAATTGAAATTAAAATGAAATATATATATATTATCAGCCTTGGTACCTCTGAACAAGGTATTGTTAATGTTTTTGTTTATTGCATAATAATTCCTTTTATTCCTTCCACATAAATCTGTGCCTTTTTCCACCATTGTGTTTTAAGGAATGATTGTAGAGATAATTATAACGGAATTAAGTCAATAATGAATCGCTTTCCACCTTGTTATTTTTGTGTACTCAGAATCTGTCACTAAATCTTGTAATAATGTTCCACCCTGCAAATTTTTAAGGTTCAAATAAAGTTTAATTGTTTGCAAACTGTTAAAATGCTAATAATTCAACAGCCTGCTGTGTAACTAATGAAATTACTTTATGATTAATTTGAAAAATAGAGAGTTGATTGTAGTAATTAAACAAAACAAGGTGAAGTAAATGATTCTAATGCCATCTGGCCCCTAAACTGAACCAAAATAAATTAAATGGTGCCATCAAGTAAATTTATTTAGGGAAATAAAGATATTGTAATAGAATCATTGTAGGGATTGTGAGGATGTTGTGAATTACCAGAGGAGTCATTTGGGGGGAGTTTAGACTAGATTTCCTGTTTTGTGATTTGGAATATCGTTGTTCATTCCATAGGTAACACATTGAGCACACGTTTTAATCGCTGTGTTGCAATGGTTTTGTTTTAATATATTACTTTTTCATTTGAAGGTGGTGCGGTATTATTTTGGGGGGTATTCCTTTTACCTCTGTCCTCAAAGATCAACGAAAGGGAACTGTTTGTTTTTATCTCTTAATGTTATACTCAAACGGTGTCTTCTTACGCAGCAAAAAGAGAACAATTTGATAAACTTGAGTTTTTTATGTGCTTGTGAAATTGTTTGTTTAAAGGATTAACTCAGAATAATAAACAACTGGCACTGTAGAACACACTTTTAAACTACGTACTTTGAAAGACATTAAAAAAATTGAAGTGAAATGCATGTCTTACCAAGAACAAAGCACTATTAATGTGTTTGCTTGTGGCTCTTAACGATCTAAATATTTCAAAACCTGTGCCTTTAAGAAGGCTTTTGCTGAAAATACAGAGCTGTCATTAAGTCGTCCTGGTCTGCACAATCCAAAATACCCCCTAGCTCTATTCACAATCAGCTCCTTCATGATGACAAGTCAGTGCAGAAGGAGTTAAATGTAAATTGTGTAACAAATTGGCTATATAATGTGGCACAATATTCCGAAATGAAGTGTAACATATTTAGTAGAAAATAAATTGTTAGCTTCAGAACAGTGTGTTATGCGTTCAATCAGTTTGCATGTCTTCTCTTCAAAACTCTTCATCATCTTGACAAGAGCCATTTATATTGTTATTATGATTTTACATCTTTTCAGCCCAAGACAGGAAAGTGTCTTTGGTATTACTTCTTTGTTGTCAGTGTTGAACACAACAAACAGGCAGTAGTGTGCTTCGATTTCAGCCACTTCTGTTCCTCTTTGAAAGCGTTCAGTCTTTAAACCTATTGAACTGACCTTCCTTGTGTTAATTTCATTCTTCTCCCACTTTTTTGAAATTATGCATTAAATAATTATCATATATTTGATCAATTGTGAATTAGACTGCATTTATATTTATACAAGGAAAAGCTGAATTTCTGTAGGAGACGTATAATAGTAATAATCTTCATCGGGCAGACCACTTAGCAAGCTTATTTTAGATGTTGAAGTGCGAGGCTTTTTCTAGAACATAAGGCAAAGCAGACAAGTGAGGAAACATGCACACAGTGAGCACACAATCTACCAGAGAGGCCCTCAGAATGATCCTGTTAAGCCTGAGTCACGTCACTGACATCTGCAGCTGTGACTGACATTATGGGTGACACGACACCCTTTGTTCTCTGTAATAACTTGTAAATATATCATGAGCATGTGTGGTAATTCCTATTGTACGTATTGTGTGCAATTACTTTAGATTAACGCGATTATATAAATATACACATATTTGCACTGCAGGATTTTGAAGCCTTGTGTGTACTGTATGTGTGTGTGTGTGGAGGTGAGTGTATTTGTTTTCAGACAAATGATTCCTTTTCTGCCGATCCTTCCCTTCATTTGTCTTTTTAATGAACTTACTGTCCTGCCCGACAATCCGTCTACTGCCAATAACTGTACGGGAGGTGATTTAACCGCAGTGACTCGGAAGTGTAAACATCTAATTATTACACTTAAATTGTCAATAACATCTCGGTGAGACATGTCCGCACCTCTGTTCATAAAGAAACACTAGACTATATCTATAGTATAGCGCTCTGCAGAAATGCGAAGAGATGTTCTGAAGCGCTCTCCGTATTTCACTCGGAGAGGCACAGCAGATTGGGTTCTAGAAATGCAATGAAATCGTCAGCACGGCATTAA